AACTAATATGTATGGGGGTCATTCCTGGACTTGTAAATTTTAGTAAATTACAATTTTGTTAGATAGTTATTTGAATAATCGTTTTCAGAACTATTTTTTGCTACTAGATATTTTTGTAACAGATATTTATAATTGTTGTGTCCAGAATGTTTTTGTGTGTATAATTGATTTTAAAAATACAAATATTTTTTTTGCCATTTCACCCAAACCGCCATCGGCATCTTGGAAAAGTTTCAGTGAACATAATTTCCTTGTGGTTGCTTAGCCACATCTATTGAGATATTGACTTTTGTTGCCCAATGATAATTAACCCCAAATATGCAAAGGTTTTTCTTTCTGGTTGAAATTATGTTCACTGAAACTTTTCCAAGATGCCGATGGCGGTTTGGGTGAAATTTTTATTTCACTGAAATTGCCAATAGTTTAAACATGTATAAATAGTTGTTATGCAGATAACTAGCTCTGAATGACCTCCTTATTGAAGCATTTTCTATCAATGCAAATTTCTTACTGAGAATTCCTATTTTAAAAGTTACTTATGACATGTCTACATAGAAGTTCATTGACTCATCAATTTTAGCTTGAATCAGTCTATCTTGTAGTTCTCTCATTGAAGCTTCTAACTCTACTTTTTGTGGTAAAGTACTTCCAACTTCAGCATGTGTTGATCTCTCCTGGTTGTTGCTAGGGTAGTCAAAGTTAGATAGAACCCAAAGTGTGTGGTGATGTTCAACAGGAACTTTACTAGCTGCTAGGATCTTCTTCATATTGTAGAGTAAGCAACAGAGTTTAAACTGCACATTGTATACAGTTGTGTTTCTAATTCTCACAACTTCTCTATTTGATAGTCTCTTAAATGTGTTACCTAGTTCTCCAAATGTGCTCTCAACCATTGATCTAAATGACCCAAGTTTGCTATTATATTCTAACTCTGCTTCACTTAAGTTGGTTCCTCTTGGCTTTCTAACTGGTAAGCAAAAGTTATGCATTCCAAAATTCTCATTCTCTTCTGCTTCTGTTAACTCTTCCAGAATACTTTGAGGATAACCACCATCTAAAACAACACAATCTACTGGAGAGATGTATTTCAATAGTGACATATTCTTAATCATCTTAGAGTCTGGGTGGTCTTTACATTCCTCAGTTGGTGAAACAAGGACAACCATTCCATTCAAATCAATGCAAACTTGTGTTCTATATCCTGACTTCTTCAACTTGAAGGAATAAAGATTTGGTTTGTATGCACCATTATGTAGAGCTCGTGAGTCATGTCCATCTAACATAAGAGTTATATGCTTAAAGTTTGTTGGATTCTGAATCTTTGCTGAGATCACTCTTAGTTCTGGAGTGGAGAACATTGTGTGCAAGTAGTGTGAAAGCTTCTTGTTCAACTCACTTAACTCTGAGATATAGAACATATTATGAATTACTTGGTAGCTGCTCTTAGGAATAAACCTCTCCATCTCATTGATTGATAGCCCAGCAACTAACTGGTACAAAATCAAGAGTCCTTTCTCAACATTTCTGTAAGGACATGGATACTGCTTTCCACCAAATAGAACATTTAAGAAGAAGAACACAGGGATCATTCCAAGTTGCTTTACAAGTGTATCTTTGATGAGCTTTATTTCTTTCACTTCATGAGCTTCACTCCTATAGTACTTCTGTTGTTTATGTACTAACCAGTCTTCATCAAGAAATCTCCACTTTGTTGTGTAGAGCACATTCCACTCCTTCTCTCTTAATTCTTGTAATTGATTGTCCATCTGTGTGAGGTAGTCATAAATAAAAATTTCAACTTTTATCAATTTTAGAAAATGGGATCATTCCAGAACTTCTTCAAGCAACATTTAGCTGAGATGTGTGAGGAAGAAAGAGATATGCTTACTCTGCTACTTATTCATGACTTTGATATGAGTGATGACTTAGCAATACAAGTGCGTAATTGGATCCAACATATTGCTACTGATTGTGAGGTAAGGGTTGAACATGTGTATGATGTTTGTCATACTTTCCATAGAGATATGGAGAGAATGGTTGCTTATACTATGTTTTAAAATGGCTGCTATTCAACTGTGATTGTTCTATATCCCACACTTATAACTCTTAGATATATTTGTTGCTTTCTTTCTCCTAACTGTTGAGAAATTGCTTTTCCAATAGAACTGTCAACTGGTGTCCTAATAAGAGTTGGCTGTTTATCTCTCCCTTTAATAAGAATATCAACATAGAAGTATGAATGTCCTCTAAAAGTATGGAGTGCATAATGTGTAGCTGTAAATTCATCACCTAACTGAAGAACATTGTAAGCAACTCTATACAATGAAGGTTTCAGATCTGTATTCTCTTTGATAAATATATGGCTAGTTTCATCAAGTGTGATATTGTCTATTGCTGTTGTTAATGCATTGATGTTTTCCTCTTTTGCAGAATATTTATCCTCTGACATTTTTGATAGACATATCTTACTCTTTGCTTGCTTACTATCTATCCAACCAATATGCATTCCTTTATAGTTAACTAATCCCATCTCTTCAAAAGTGTGATACTGCTTAGTTGTAGGATAAGTTGACCAGAAGGAGTTTCTCTGACTTGGAACAATAGTTATATTCTCATCAACTCTTCTAAGAACTTTTTCTGTTTCAAGACCACTCTCAAGTGAATCATATATTTGATAAAGTGTAGGTCTGTTGTTGAATGAGAGATTAGCAACAACTACCATTGGATCATCATTCTTGTTTAGTTTCTTAATAATTCCTTGCTTCTTTGATGTGATAGAGTTAAACCAATGACAATATGCTAGAGTATGCTGTTGTCTCACATAAATGCAAACTGTATAACAACTACTAACTTTATCAACAAGTGCTTTCCACTGCTTTTCATAAGAAGTTGCAAATGTTCTGCATTCATTCATAAACTGAACTGTGTTAAGAAGCAAGTTACTATTCCATTCAACTGTTTGCATCTGAGAAGAATGTACAGTTAGTTCTATCCTAGTCAAACCAGAGTTTCTGCAAGCATACAATGTTTCTCCAAAGTTGTGCAAAGTTGGCATTACAAATTCAGAAAGTTTGGAACTAAGAGGATTACGAACTTCACCACTCTCAAGAAGCTGAATAAACTTGTTATAAATTTTGTTCTTAACTTTAACATCTCCTTTCTTTGTAAACCAGCTAATACAGTTAGAGCCAGACTTGTGTAAATCATCTACAACATCTTTCTTTTCAACTCCTCTTTCTAAAAGGTATTTATAGATAATATTTCTAGATGAGATATTCATACAATCCATTGTGATGTCATAATTCTGTAGAAATATTTTGTGATCAGCCATAGTAGCAAACTTCACTGTTAACAAAGAACTAGTTATTGCAATGTTTGGGGTAGATACTTTGTAAATAGCAACTGGTCCATATTGCTCACTAATCTTGCTTCTAACATACTTATAACCAAAACCTTCTCCAAATACTTTATGCAATCTAACACTAGCTGACTTCTGCTTCACCTTTATATCTGATTCACTGCATTTCTCAACAACAACCTCAACAATGAATGAGTCAACAAATATTTCAGAAGAGTGCTTAAATCCAAGTTGCTCTACACCTCTAGCAGTATACCTAGCATCAGCAACATCAGGCATATTTCTTCTTTCTGACAACACTCTTGTTAGTAATGCTCTTAGTTCACTTTGGAAGGGGGTCATTCCTGGACTTGTAAATTTTAGTAAATTACAATTTTGTTAGATAGTTATTTGAATAATCGTTTTCAGAACTATTTTTTGCTACTAGATATTTTTGTAACAGATATTTATAATTGTTGTGTCCAGAATGTTTTTGTGTGTATAATTGATTTTAAAAATACAAATATTTTTTTTGCCATTTCACCCAAACCGCCATCGGCATCTTGGAAAAGTTTCAGTGAACATAATTTCCTTGTGGTTGCTTAGCCACATCTATTGAGATATTGACTTTTGTTGCCCAATGATAATTAACCCCAAATATGCAAAGGTTTTTCTTTCTGGTTGAAATTATGTTCACTGAAACTTTTCCAAGATGCCGATGGCGGTTTGGGTGAAATTTTTATTTCACTGAAATTGCCAATAGTTTAAACATGTATAAATAGTTGTTATGCAGATAACTAGCTCTGAATGACCTCCTATCTCTTAATAGTAAACTAATCACATCTTATCAAAAGTGTGATATTGCTTAGATATAGGATATATAGACCAGAAGTAATTTCTCAGATTTAGAACAATAGATATATTATCATCAACTCTTCTAAGAACATTTACTGTATTAAGCATATTCTTATGTAACTTGTATATTTGATGTTTTAAAATAGCACAGTTTGATGCTTTCTAAAATTGATGACATATATGATTGCTTGGTGCATATCTATTAATTACAGATGGGATTCTAACAACTTGATGAATTTATTATGATTTTTTAAAATGGCATAATTTGATTCTTTTTAAAATTGATGATATATATGATTGCTTGGTATTAGAAAAATATTTATAAATAGGATGATAACGACTTGATGACTAGAACATGATGTTTTAAAATGGCAGCATTTGGAGGTTATTCACAATCACTAGGAGGTCATTCACAATCACTAAACTAAGTAAAAAATAATTAGAAATTGTAAAACTTTTTATTCTTTTGTTTTTTTTGAACTTCTCCGAAACCCCCTTCGGCATCCTGAAAAATTTCAGTTGATACACAATTAATATGCTTCTACTGAGATACAGGCTGCGTCCCGAGAAATCAACTGAAATTTTTCAGGATGCCGAAGGGGGTTTCGGAGAAGCGTCTATTCTTATATTTTTGTTTATTAGTTAATCTAGTTGCTAAAATCTTTTTGGCCATCACTAAACATTCTGATTTTTAAAATATTTTTCAACTGCTAGTAATTGATTTGTTATTTAATACTTGGTTATTCTGATACAAGATATTAAGTTTCTTTAAACTTTCTTATTTGTGAATGGCCTCCATATATGTTCAACCTTTATCTCATAAAAAGTTCCACTAAGTTGGACCCAATTATGCACTTGGAATGCTAAGCCAGCACTCATGTTAAAGTCATGGATAAGCACTAAAGTTAGCATGTCTCTTTCTTCAGTACTCAGATCAGCTATGGAGATCAGTCAGAAATGGTTAGCTATTTAATAATTATTAATATTTTTATTGTTTTCTTGTTCTGATGCCAAATATGGTGCTTCTACGAAACCCCCTTCGGCATCCTGAAAAATTTCAGTTGATACACAATTAATATGCTTCTACTGAGATAGAGGCTGCGTCCCGAGAAATCAACTGAAATTTTTCAGGATGCCGAAGGGGGTTTCGTAGAAGCACCATATTTGGCATCTTTGTTTATTTGTTAATCTAGTTGCTAGAATCTTTTTGGCCAGTGGTAAACATTCTGTATTTTAAAATATTTATCTACTGCTAGTAATTGATTTCTTATTTGTTAATTGGTTATTCTGTTAACAGATATTTAGTTTCTTTAAACTTTTATATTTATGAATGGCCTCCTTAAGAGTACATCTTAACTCCCTTTTGGGACTTGAGTTGAAGAATAGAGATAATATGCCTGATATATCTGATGCAAGATATACTAGTAATGGCATTGAACAGCAAGGATTTATTCAGCATTCTGATATCTTTATGGATTCATGTGTTGTTGAGATACCTGAATCATATGCTCTTATAGATCAGATTAACAATATTACTCCTTTTGATAGATTGCATAGAGTTTTTGGTGATGGATACAGATTTAAGTATATGAAGTGCATGGTAAGTGTGAGAAATGGTAAAGTCTCTGTTTACAAAGTATCTGCTCCAAATGTTGCAATAGCTGATCCTGCACTAACTGATATCTTTCTTAGGATGCATCAGGAACATGTATTTCTTCTGAACTATGATATTACAATGGATTGTCTAAACATATCTTCTAGGGCTGTAATAAAGGAATTTCTTTTTGATAATGGAATCAGTAGCAATGATATTCTTGATGATGAAGATAAAGTTGGAGCAAACTGTATTAGCTGGTTTACTGATGAAGATGAAATAAGAATTAGGAACAAGTTGTATAATAAATTTGTTCAACTTCTAGAAAGTGGTGAGGTTCGCAATCAACTTACTTCTAAGCTATCAGAGCTAGTGATGCCAACTTCTCAGCAATTTGGTGAAACACTTGTTGCTTGTAGGAATGAAGGATTAATGAGGCTTGAGCTTACTGTTCACTCTCCTGAGTTGAAAGAAGTAGAATGGAACACAAACTTAATTGCTAGTACACTAGAGTTTCTTAGTGATTGTAGGACATTTGCAACATCTTATGAAAAGCAATGGATGGCACTAGTTGATCAGATTCATAACAAACATACATTGTGTATTTACTTTCATAAAGAACATGCTCTTGCTTATTGCCATTGGTTCAATAGGACAACTAAGAAGAAACAAGGAATAGCTAAAAAGTTGAAAGAGAATGAAGATATGATGACTGTTGTTTCTAACCTCTCTTTTAATGGGCACCCAACTCTTCTTCTTACATATGCTACCAGTAGTGGTCCTCTTGAATCTGAAGTTGTTCTGAGAAGAGATATCACAAACATCACTATTGTTCCTAGTCAGAAAAATTCTTTCTGGCCTGTTGTTTCAAGAGAAAGGCAACAACACACATTTGCTGAAATGGGACTTGTTAACTATCGTGGAATGCATATTGATTGGTTAACAGCTCAGCAAGCAAGAGAGAAAGTTTGTCTCTCAACTCTCTCAAGTGTTAGTGAGGATACCGATGACCTAGGAATAGATAATCTTATTGCTGATATTAGCAACATTGAACTTGATGATCTAGAACCCACATATATAAGAGAAAATACTGATCTCAGGCCAGCTAGATATAAAGTTGCTTACAACATACTTCATATTGGAGATGAGTTCCTAGTTAGTCATTATTTCTTATATACTTTTAGAGGGTTGCTATTCTATTATCTAGATATCTATATGATTCACAATGAAGTAGTTAGCAGTACTCACACTCATATCAAAATACAAGCAAGTAGTCCATTTGGAGAATATATTGCTTCTATTATTGGTGAACCAAGTCAAGAAGTGGTACTTAAAGTAACTAGAATTCATAATCGTATTATCCATACTGAGAGGATCTAGTTTTAAAATGGGCAGTTAGCAACCATTACCTCCATATCTGCACAACTATAGTTGCATACATCAAACACATGCTTAATACTAACACCCCTATCTTCTGAAACATTCTTAATCCATGCTCTGATATATACTGTTAATTTTCTGCTCATATTGAAATTTTTGCTAAGTAGTTGGACTAGCTTTTCTCTCTCTTCCTCATCTAGCTCAGCAAGTCGAGTGTTGAAGAATTTGTAGAATGGGCCCATTGCAATAAATGACAACTTTTAAATTTATGAGTGCCTCACAATGATGAATCATCAATTACAAGAACTCAGAGAAAAGGAGTATCACAAACTGTACACAAACAAATGGAAGTTTCTGAATGATGACTGGGTAATTCTAAAACATACAAAATATCACAGAAGTGAAGTTCGTGAAGTAAGAGAAATTAAACTTATCAAGGACACACTTCTTAAACATCTAGGGATGATTCCTATTTTCTTCTTTCTGAATGTTTTATTTGGTTGCACTCATTATCCATGTCCTTACAGAAGTGTAGAGAAAGGACTGCTCATCATATACCAACTTGTAGAAGGATTATCTATCAATGAAATGGAAAGATTTATTCCTAGGAGTAGCTATCAAGCTATTCATAATATGTTCTATATTTCTGAAATGAAAGATTTGAATAAGAAGCTAACATACTATCTGCAAACAATGTTTTCAACTCCAGAACTACGAGTCTTTGCAGCAAAGATACAGAATCCTCAAGGGTTTAAACATGTTACACTAATGTTAGATGGCCATGACTCAAGAGCACTACACAATGGAGCATACAAACCAGATCTCTATTCATTCAAATTGAAAAAATCAGGATATCGCACACAACTATGCATTGATGTGAATGGAATGGTTCTACTTGTTTCACCAACTGAAGACTGTAGAGATCACCCAGACTCAAGAATGATTAAGAACATGGGGTTGCTGAAGAATATATCACCTATTGATTGTATTGTGCTTGATGGTGGTTATCCACAAAGTATTTTGGAAGAGATGACTGAGGAAGAAGAGCAGGATACTTTTGGACTGCACAACTTTTGTTTACCAGTAAGAAAGCAGAGAGGAACAAGCTTATCAGAAACAGAAGCTGAATATAATTCCCATCTTGGATCATTCCGTTCAATGGTAGAAAATACATTTGGAGAACTAGGCAATACATTCAAAAGGCTGTCAAACAGGGAGATTGTTAGAGTAAAGAATAGGAATGTTTACAATGTGCAAATGAAGTTATGCTGCTTACTCTATAATATGAAGAAGATACTAGCAAACAGTGATGTACATATTGATCATCATCACTCACTCTGGGTTATGAGCAACTTTGATTACCCTGATACACATGATAAGTCAACACAAGTGGAACCAATACATACTTTGCCCCAAAAAGCAGAGTTAGAAGCATCTATTGTTGAAATTCAAAATCGATTCCTTCAATCTAAAATTGATGATACATATGATTGCTTGGTGCATATTGATTAATTACAGATGGAGTACTAATGAC